AAGTTCTTGACAAAATCCAAAGAAGGATCTGCAATGTAATCAATCCTGACTTGACATCTCAACTTCAGTGACATTCTCACAATTGTGGCATGGCTTCTCTCTGTCTTTTCTACAAATATTTTCATGGCAACTGCTCTAACAAGCTTTCTGCTGCCCCAACTACATGAATTTAAGCGTGCTACTAGATTGGCATCTAGGTCCTACCAGTTTACTGTTGAAATAGCTAAATGCAGCAGTCACTTCTACTTAGAAGAGAACTATTGATGTTGCATTTAAATTTTTTGAAGATTGTAGTTATCAAGGAAGCAAATAAACGGAAAGGATTTCCACAAGCGAGAAGTGGGAGAAAAGAAACTGTTGGAGTAGAAGTGACTTCTGCTTTCTCACACTTCTCGCTTGTGGAAATCCTTTCCGTTTATTTGCTTCCTTGATAACTACAATCTTCAAAAAATTTAAATGCAACATCAATAGTTCTCTTCTATTTTCTTGAATCCTATTTATCTTTTCATCAATCCTTCCTATACTCAGTCCTTTCTCTCACTTTCACTCCTTGTAAACCCCACACACACTGCATATTAATTGCATTCCTACCTTACTTGGGTGAAAAAAAAAAAAAAAAAAAAAATTAGAAAAGATAATTCCTCTGAGTAAAAGATAACATTGAAATAAACATGATTAACAAAGAAATGAGGATTTCAGAGTTTGACCACAAGGCCCTTAAAAGTAAAGCTTTTGAATTGTGTGATGGCAGAAAGCCAAACGGATTCCTTTCCAAATAAAGAAGTAATTAATTATGTATTTGAAACACACATTTTACAGCATGCAAAAAAATAAAATAAAATCAATATTTTTTTTTCTTATGCAATTCTTATTGAAATCTACACAAAAAATAAGTAAATAGGCTCTGGCATTTATAGATCAAACCAGAATAAAAACTACATCGCTGTGCACTCCACCATAGGCAATACAAAATCACTTAACGCTCACAATCAGCTGAATAAAAAAATATATAAATAAATCTTTTCTCCATATATTGACAGCCTCTTGCCCTTTTACTTACAGGAAATTTATTTTGCATTTAAAACATTTAACCAATTTTATCTCTGTCTATACTTCAAGCCATTGGCAGAACTTTAAGAGATGTAGAAAACTGAAAAAAAGATTTCTAAATTTAGTATTTAGAATGGCACAACATTCCTTTAAAACTTGATAAATTATTTGGTCACTTCCAATGATTTGGTAATTTTGACAGTTGTGAATCATGAGATGTTTTAAGATATTTTTAAAATGCAACTGTTTTTTTTTTTATCACAGAATAAGGATATTTTTAATTATACTATTTTAAGTATTACACAAGACTGAAAAATTTGAAGTGCTGGGTATAGGACATCAAACATTAGGGAACAAACAAATTAACGCATATCTGAGAGTTGTCAATGTCCCTTGGATTAATAACAGGTTAATAAACAAAATGAAATGTTACACTTGTAGAAAAGAATTTAAAAATTTTATTTTTTCTGAAAGATACATTAAAACAATGAATACAATTTTTATCATTGATCAAGCAATTCTTAACTAAAAGCTGGATAGCTCAGTACATGTGTAAATAAAGCAATACACTAATAGTCAAATTTCTAAGCATTTCTTTATTCACATTGTAAAAACAGTGCAAAGAAAATGCAGCTTATTTAAAAAGAAACAAATATAGAACAAAATTCAAAGAAAAAGTAAAATTAGATAAAATTACTAAAGAAACTCCAAGTAAAAAAAAAACTCAAAACAGGTTAGAAATTAACATCAACTTCTGGCTTTTACCTACCTGTACTTTTTGTTATATACCTATGTACCTATGAACACTAATGAATATGTCCCAATCCTCATATATACATTGGACACAATTGTAGGTGTAGGTATTATGCTGTCTAAGTAGTCCACCACTAGTTTATCTACTTCATGCCAATTGGTGAGTATTGTATTTTGTTGATGTTATAAAGATTGCCATTTCAGTTCCAACCTCCATTTTGGTTATTCCTCATTCAGTAACCCTTTTTATTGGCTTTGTCAAATTTTGCTATATATATAAAAAATATTGGGAGAGTTTTTTTCTATTTGTAAAACACAACCAAAATGTTTCATGTGCTCAAATTTTGCATGCATGTTCATTGAACCCAAGTGAAGGTTTTAATGTAAATATTTAATAAAAGACATGCCTAAAAATAACTACTGTGAATATTATTTTTCAAAATAGTTAAATTGCTAATATCAATAAGAAGTATAGAAAATCAATAAATAGATTTAGAGAAGAATTATTATATCAGAAACTGACAAATCAACTGTATTGAGCTTATCTTAATCAATTCATTGTTATTAAGATCTTTTCATTGAAGTGATTAAAAAAGAAAAAAATATCAGAAATTTACTACCTTTCAAATGTTTCAGTTTATACACATTAAATCTGCTGGAGTCCTTCATAATTCTTAACTACATATACACATATATAGATAATATTAGGGGTAAATATACACATACATATCCAATATATATATATATATATATATATATATATATATATATATATATATATATATATATATATATATATATAGGTGCATGCACATACATATATATTTTTTGAATAAAAAATTCCAAGAGGATAGAATCCAGGTAGAACTTAATGTCCAGGACAGAGTAAGGATATAATAAAAAGGCTTAAACACTAATATTCCATGGTCATAATTTATTCCATTAGAATCATAAATACGATCCAATTCATCAGATCTACAAATTCAAAAAGAAAACAGAAAAAACAACTCCAGAAATAAAAATAGAATTTAGAGAAAGTGTAAGTATGAGAGTGTGGGACGAATGTTAGAGCTAAAGAGAGGGGTAACAGACGAAAAAAGGTGGAAGATTAAAACTTAACAGAGAGAAGTTTTAGAGAGGTGAGTTGAAGAGGTTTAAGTGAGAGAAATATGAATGTTGTCGGATGTCTAATACATTAAAGATGTAACTGGAAAGGATGCATTTTGTGGTGACATACACACACAATAGACGATCTAATCTTAAAGATCAGAAGAAGAGGGAGGGAGAGGAAAAGAAACGAAAAGAAAAGGGGGTGGGGAGAGAGATGGGGCAGGGGAAACTAAAACTGAAGGGCATTTACTGAAAGGGCCGCTGTGTTATTAAGAAAATTTGACAAAATTAATATCAACTACAGGTTACAAATCAAATATAAACATATAAAAAATAAATATAATGATTATATAATCTAGCAAGGACCTATATTTTTATGTTCAAAAATACATGCGTATACACACATACACAATAACATATACACGTACATACATACATATAGATGTGTCAATTTTTCAACTCTGTCAAAGTTAAATTTGTAATTCCGACATGAACACAGTCTATACACCAGGGTTTCATTAAAATTTCATCAGAGATTGAGCTATATTGTTTATTTTTTATTGGTTAATCAGGTTTAATGTGCATTCGACTTGTTAAACAAATGTTAGTATAACTTATGGCATTCCAAATTCAAGGAGAGACAACAAGTTCCTTTAAAGTTCCAAGAAATTAACAGACTCTAAGACTAACTGAAAAACTGTAAATATTGCTTTATATCTGTAAGTGTATAAGAATTCTAGTTTGTCTATGTAGGATTCCGATAATATATATATGATAAAAGTTTGTAAATAAATTAGTTATTCCTAATACTAAGATCTTTAGGAAAATTGGAGATATAGCTAGGAAGAAAAATAAATCCAACACCAATTCAGATGTCGGTACTTATCAAATAAAATGCTTACAATCTAAAAGTACTTATATCAGCAAGACATCTTGAAATCCAAAAGCCTATATCAATGAACATAAATGAATTTACATTTGGACAACCATATATATATATATATATATATATATGACTGACTACTCATTTCTAAAGACACCCATCTGTTAAATTGGCTGGTTAATTCCTATTACAGACACCCACTCTGACACATTTATGCCTCTTCTGCACCCACAGAGCCACTTGTGCTTTATAGTGCAACTATGCAGTGCAGACCTTAGTTATGGTTTCTTAGACAACAGACTTCTGAAGAGTTTTATTTACCTAATTTCACTCAAAATGCTTGCGTCAACCATCATTTTTCAGGCACTTTTCTATACAGCACAGACAGGTGAATGGGTGCACAGGAACATACACATATACTATGAAAAAAATAAAAAAAAAAAACTTGCACCAATGAAAAGTGCATATAAAAAAGAAAAATCAAGAAGCATAAGCAGTCAATTGCTGATACCCCTGATGAGTGGACAGATTGATTCCCAGAAAGTCCGTCTGGAGTCGAGATGATAAAGGTAACGTCAATCAGCTAAGTGACAAACCTTTTACTCATATTAATCACTTTCGCTCTCTGTGTGTATATATATATATATATATATATATATATATATATATATATATGTGTATGTGTGTGTGTAATTTGCTATATTCATAGGTAATGAGTGAACAATATCAGAGCATTTATAGATATAGAAAGTGTAAACATAAGAATCAACACTGAATAGGGTCTGTCAATTTTATGACTCAATGTAATCTTTAGACTTGTTCTGAAGATAACATTGAGGCATGAAACTGGCAGTCACCATGTAGTGTTGATTCCTATATCAACTCTATCCATCTGTCTGTCTCTAATATCCAAACAATCAAGTTGTCACAAAATAATTTCTTTTCAAATTTCCTACAAAGCAAAAAAGTTGTTTTTCTTCATCAATTAATCCAGGTAAAAAAAATTTTTTAAATTCATTAATTAGACAAAAAAACTGCATCATCTGATGTAGCGAGATGAATGTATGTTGGTGTGTGCATTGTGATTTGGATTTGTGCTATTAAACTTTTCACACACTCAATAAAAATGGAGTCAACACATTTATTCATTACAGTTGAGTGATGGAGGAGGTGGCTTGATAAGTATTTTGATAAGTATAGGCCATTAGTAGGATTCTACCTCTATTGACATGCTGCCCAAATATATATGTGGGAAGAGATAGATAGATAGATAGATAGATAGATACATACACATCTATAAAAAATATTAAAAAAAAAACTATAACAGTAAAATAAAACCATAATAATAAAATGAATGAGAATGTTCAGTCAATTTCATGGTATGACAGATAAAAGCCTCATTTTTAGCATCAGAGAATATGCACAACACTACAAATGATTCTATCACTTATGAATAAATTAATAAAGAAAATATTTGTAAGTCATGCCAAGGGTTGAAATGAAAAGAAAAGGTTTTCATATTAAACAAAAAAAAAAAAAAAAAAAGACGATAGAATATAAAAATAAAAAGGTTAAAGGTTTTGTCATCATCTTTTTTTTGAAGGGAGGAAAGTTGAGCATTCTAATTTAATGTTTTTATTTATTTCTTATTAAATCAAAATGCTTTAATGAGATTTTCAAAAAGTTAACTGAAAATCTCAATCAGAATTTTCCTCATTGTACAAATTGGACAATGATAAACCTTGAAAAGTGTACATGTTTATTGAACAGAACCGAGATTAACAATATAGAAAAAAATATTTTAATAAATTTTCAAGTTTAGTCAATAAATGATCTAATTAAACAAATTTATCCAACACCTTCAGTTACCTTGGTAGTCGAGGTCAATTCTTAAATGAATCAATATTTTTTGATATTAGAAATCCATTCAAGAATGGAGAATTGTTAAGAGAAAAATACCATATCAGAATATCAACAAGTAAAAAATCGCATAAAAAAATATATTGATATATTGATCAATATAATTTAATGCAAATTCAATCAATTTACTGGACTGATAGTCTTGATAAAGTGTTAACTGCATACCCACTGTCTATTTAATTATTTATGGACTAGAAGACTGATGCAGAAGAGTGGAGACTTTAACTTTAAAAAGGTTTAAGATCAATTTGGAAATCATTACTGTTGGAAGATAATGTTCTAATCAGCTATATATTTATTGTCAACTGCAAAATTGGAATGGAAATAGAGATTGAGTGTAAAGAAGGAAAATATAAAAAGAAAGTGGAAAAGAGAGAGAGAGAGAGAGGAAAAGTAAGAAGAGGAGAAAGTTAAAAGAGAGAGAATGAGTGAAAAATAAAGAGTGGAACAGAAAGAAAATAGGAAAGAAAGAAAAATCAAAGACCTAAAAGTGAACAATGGATAAATAAGAAAAAAAGTAAGAATAAATAAATAGACAATTAAGCAATGGGAGAGAATTGAAAAGAGAGAGAGAGAAAAAGATGAACACAGAGAGAGAAAAAGATGAACACAGAGAGAGAAAAAAATACACAGAGAGAAAAAAATAACACAGAGATGAACACAGAGAGGGCGAGAGAGAAAATGCACACAGAGTGAGAGAGAAAATGCACACAGAGTGAGAGAGATAGCGAAAATGCACAGAGAAAGTTTACATTGAAAGAGAGATGTGGAAATGCAGAGAGAGGGAGACAAAGTGCAAAGAGAACATGAGGGAGACAGAGACAGAGAGAGTGAGAGAGTGAGAGAGGAGAGAGGGAGAGAGAGTGAAAGTGCAGAGAGAAAGAGTAAAAAAAAACTGGAGAGAGAGAGAAAAGTGTTAATATTTATACTCTCCTCATATATATATTTAAATATATATTCATGTCTCGCACCTCTTGCCTGTGGAACTCCCTTCCCTTTTCCTGTTTCCCCGTGAGCTATAATCTCCAGCTATTCAAGTGTAATGTCAATCGACATCTCCAGTTGCCTTGATCTATCCACTACCCTCATCCTTTCTTCTATCACTCCTATCTGATCTTGCTCTAAATTTTCTGTAACCCCTTGTGTCCTAGTGGCTTCCCGCCTTGCTTGGGGTGAAATGCTTAAAAAAAAAAATTTAAAAAAAAAAAAAGTCATAGTTGTTATATAATATTAAAATTGCAAAAAAACATTAAATTATTTATAATAAAATTGTTTTGCATATATTTATAAAAAAAAAAAAATGTTTGATTTTAATTGGACATTGAAAAAGTAAAATCTGTGTTAAGATAATGCTCACTATATTTCCTCTATTTCTTGAATAGATACACAATACATTCTGTACAGGATTCAGTGTACTTTTTGTTGTTTTTATACCATTTTTCTTTCTAGATAGCTTGAATACTCTTCAAAAAACAATTCTCATAGTAAATAAAAATTTGATATTAGTTTTCTGAAAGTATCGTCTCAATTTTCTAGATGCTCTATCTCACAAGAGACTACCAAGATAAATGATGAAAGAAGTGGCAATGAAAATACAGACAAAAATATCTGGTTCTAAGTGATTGAGCCAAAAATGAAATTGGCTACAGGAATTTTAGTGAGGTTGTAATGTCTCATACTTGCACAATGGAGTTTAAATCTGGTGAGTATGAAGCCAATAGAGCATCTGGAAGACAATTCAGTGTTTTAGGTAACAATTTCATGCAATGATATTGGGGAAGTTGCATTATTTTGATGGAAAAAAACACTACAAAAACATTTTCTGAGCAATGTAACTTAAATTTCCAATCAATAGCTTCAGTTTATTTTCTATTGGATTGACTGAAAGTTAATCTGGAATACCAAAGAAGAAAAAAAAAATGACTGATGGCAATGAATACTCTGAGTGCAAGTTTTATAAATATCTACAGTAATTTTAATTAAAATTAAAATAGAAATGAAAGTGTTCATAAGAGAATAAAAATTGTTTTCAAATAAAATGAAGTCTAAAGACATGAAAAAAAAAAAAGCATTTAGACAAAGTCATGAGATCAAAAATATACAAATTATTTGGTGACTATAAGTAACTTGTTCACAGATCTGATTTCTTCTCATTACATTCCCCGCAGCCACCTCCCAAAATCTACAAGAACTCAAAATGAAGAATGATTATTCTTAGAATTAGCTGTCAAAAATGGTTCTCAAATAAATTGGAATTACAATTAATAAATAGACAAAAAACTCTAAAACAACTCAGCATGGATCCATTTAATATCCTGCAGCACATATTTGTAACAGCTCCTCTTCTATCAAATATAATTTTCCTTATATTTTCCCTATGAATTCTGATGCCACAAAATCAGCTTAACTGCTTCTTTCTATATGTCAGTTAATTTGTACAAGAAGTCTGCCACAATTGATTGCGTCCAAAATGAAATTAATTTGATAGCAAGAAAGATGTGCCAAACATCATCTGTTCTCTTGTCTAATCTTTGCCAACATGGAAATCAACTATTTTCTTTATGCCAATAAAATAGATAACAGGTCAGTTGGGATTGGTGGTGGGATAGCTTCTTGCTAATATAAAAACAAAAAAAAAAAAATGATGACATGAAATTGTATTTTGAATTGGTAGAGCAGTCAGGAGAGAGGAGCAGTATGAAGAAAATGCAGAATAAAACTACAAAATATAAAGTTGATAGATTAACTTAAATAGAATGAACAGTCTTCATCAGAGGTTATGATTGAATTTTGGTTAAGGAATTAAAAAATATCAAGCAAGCTGAGTATATTTTTGTAGACTTTTATTAGTTATGGTTTGTGCCTCAAAAACAATTTCATTTTATTTTGGCAATTAATTTTTTTTTACTTGATTGAAAACATATTTCAGCAGTTAGAGGGCAGGACATAAAATTGTATGTACTGCGAGGTGGATGAAGATTAAATTTTCTCAATTTAATCAAGTTTTAGTGAAAAAGACAGGTGGGATGACAATGATGATTATGACATTGGCAGTACTTGTGACATTTTGTTGTTAGTGTGATGACATGGTATCAGGCTTCCGATTTGACTGGAAACACTTGATTTCTATCACTCTAGTCAGGGCTATCGAGCATCAGCTGATTTTTCTTTCTAATAAGAACTTCATGATATTTCTTTATTAAAAGAGGAGACCTCATTCTGGGTAACAGCATCCAACATAGCATGACATTGAAATATCTAATCCCTAATTAAATTTGGTAAGGCTGTGTAGATAGCGTAACAGATAATGAGAACACCAAACAGGGTTCAAATTCTGGTTGATTTTGTTTTGCTCACTTTGCACTAATGTTCCTTTAAATGGCATGAATTCATCTTCCCAAGTTAAATAGCAAGGTAGAATAGACTCTTTAGTCTTGGTAGGGCAAATCAATGTAAGAGAAGGAAAAATCTGAAATCAAAATCAGCTTGAAGAGAGATGAGCTCCATCAGACTATACTTCCCTAGATACATCCACTACTGTTATAGCTGCAGAATGTGGTTCCCTTATTATGGTTTGGAAGATTCAGGATCATTAAAGTTGGTAAGCTTTAATATCACAGACCTGAAATTACTGACTTGATAGGAAAGATACTAAGTGCTGAGTTTTTCATTTACCAGTGCTAAGGTCAAAACAGATAGGGCCATCCATAAAATGACATGGATGAAAATTTATTTGCTTTTGACAATTTAATACTAAAGTATTAAAATGAATTTTTGTCCATTGCAGATATTTTCACTGTTGCATTTTCCCTTAAAATATATACAAGAGTGGAAGAAAGATCCATCTTTACACACACAAATGTACAATATATATATATATATATATATATATATATACGCTCCTGCCATTCTACATTTTATATACACACAGATGAGATCCAAATTTTTAAAAAGAGCTAGCAGAATATTTCTTCAGAAATAAAAATATCACGATAAAGAAATCCTTAGCAAAATATATAATGAAGAAGTCAATTGAAATTCCACAAATTCTGCCAATATGTTCAGAAACCAATGACAATTTTAACACTTAAAATATCAGTTAAAAATTGCATTAGAATCGACAGCTTGTTCTTTAAGGGGGGAGGGTAAAAAAAAGAGAAAAAGATTTTACAGAAATAACTGCAATTATTTCAGCCAAAAATTCATTTTATTGAATCCCACCAAATCAGGTTGAATTAAAAATTCCTGAATCCTTATACTTTCCATGAAATACATACTATGGCATCTATCAAATAATGGCACATGAAAAAAAAAATAAAAAAAAGGAAAGAAAAGGGTGGTTGTCAATGTGGCTAGCATTGGGCACAAAAGATAATTATTTGGCAGCCTAAACTGCAGTTGCTGTTGCCATGAAAATATGACAGGCTGGACGAAAAGCAGATGATACCAGAAACCCAATCATCACTTTGAATTGACTATTAAAAAGATTACAAAGATTTTGTTGATTATTTCTCAAAATACCAAAGGCAGTAAACATTATTTATATAAAAAGGTTCAAATTGCAAATAATTCCAGATACAGATCTGATGATGAAGAGGAGGAGCAAAAGATTTACATAGCTTTTGTTGCAAAAGAAATACTGGCACATAACAATATATTTAAATAGACAGACAACATAAAACATTTGTACATGTTATCTGATGAGTCATCATGGGAGGACATGATTAAAAGCTATTGCCTCCATTTTTCTCTCATATATATATATGTTGCTATACTTGTAAGCTGCTAGATCATGTAATGTAAATTCTGTATATTTTGGCAGCCTATTTTCATTTAAACATGTCTGATTAAACAATTTAGGCATGTGTTTATTTTCAATAATATCCTTTCATATCACATATAAGCCTTGTTGCTTCATGATGAAAGAGACCATTTACTCATTTTTATTTTTCCAAGTACTTTTGATATATTCCAATATCATCTTCAGGATTATGATGGCTAAGAAAGATAATTGTTTTTGTCTGAACTAAATTTTTACTTTTGTTGTTAAACTGTTAACAATTCCAGTCATGGGAAAGTCACAAACTGTAATTTTAAAATTTTTCCATGTTGTAAAAATTTTAATGTAAGGGAGGTAACTTTGTTAAGAATTGACTTCTTTTGTATAATTACTATTTTGTAATAAGACATTCACTCTTATAATTAAAAGTGCACAAGTTAACTCATGCACAAAAAAGATTTTCTACACTGAACTAAAAAACATTAAACACAATCTTAATAATGACTTTCCTAAATACATTGTTGATGAACAAATAAGGTGTTCTATTACAAATTTTAATATAAATCAAATAGAATGTAATACTTCCTCAAATAACCTTAAACATATTAATCTTATATTGTAATCAGATGCAAAATTTCGAAAGAATATTATTGGAAATAAACAAACATGTCCAAATTGTTTAATCATACATGTATCATTAAAATATAATTGTGTGTGTGTGTGTATATATATATATATATATATATATATAAAATAAAAAATAAAAAAACACTGAAATATTTGTTAAAATCGTACGCATTAAAGTGCTCAATTTCAAGTAGGAAAATCAAACTTGCTGATCGATTTAATATCTTAAAAAGATAAGAATGTTGACCAGAACACTAGCAGATTTTTAACTGCCAAGGTCTCATCAGGTGGTTTGTTCAGCAAATCAGTTGGAGGCAACACAAGAACTTAAATGCCTTCATTTGACACTGAAAGTTGTAGTGAGAAAAAAATAGAAAATAGATTAAATTAAATAAAATATAATAAAATTAAAGTGAAAGTGGGGGGGGATTCCAACTTTAATCTGGTTCATATAGCTCAAAAAATTAACACCCTGACATGTCTAGATTTGGCCATGATCTCAGACCTTCCATTCAACAATTCAGTGCCAGCCTTTTCTGTTGCAATAGCTAGCTTCTTCTCCTGACACAGACTACACAAGTTGCCATTCACTTTGCTAACCTTTACATTCCATAAAATACTTCATTTCTGTGCAACCAATGTATTTTTTTTTTTTTTTACACTGCTATTTTCATTTTCTACCTTGGCATAATGCACAACCTGTTCTGTACAACATATACCATTTAATGAACAATTATTTTTTATCCTACAATTACAAAGGAGCTTGTTTTTACTTCTCACCTCTTCTTCAAGGTTTAAATTCTTTTTGTTCAATCTCTTGATAATATTGCCTGTGTTGCTAGTGAAACTAACTCAATTTGACTGTACTGCAGTTAAATAACTTGTACAGCCCAGACACTTTCAGGAAGTACTTATTTAGATGACTAAAAAACATTTTCCCTATGTTTGTTTTTACTTGCATGTTAAAGGGTGGGTTGAATCAGATGATATATCATCTATTCTTTGGTTTGTTTGATCCTTGAAACAAAGGCTGTCATTATTCCCTTCCTTTCTTAAGGCAGATACATACATTTTCTTTATTTCATTGAATATTTCTTCATTTGAAGAAGTTTTTGACAATCTACATTGTACGCCTAATGGGGTATGTTTAATTACACTCAACGGGTGGTTGGATGCCATATTAATATATCTCAAAGCCGTATTAGGTTTTATGAAAGGTGAGATGGTTCCAATCAACAAGTTTAATCCTATGTCCAAAAACTGAACTACCTTCTTGTTGATCTCCACAGTGATGTCAAAATTCAGATATCCAGTGTAGCTTTTTCCTGATGGAACTGTTATTTCTTCTATTATGCACAATACAATCAAATTGAGTTACAGTTTAACTAGCAACATAGGCAATATTATCAAAAGATTGAACCAAAACAAAAAATTCAAACATTGAAGAGGACATGTGAGGTTAAAAAAAAGAAGAAGAAAAAAGAAAGAAAAAGTCTTTTGTAATTGTAGGTTAAAAATAATTGTCCATTAAATGAGTTATGTTGTACAGAATAAGTTGTGTATTGTGCAAATGTAGAAAGTGACAATAGCAGTGCAAAAAAATATATTGTTTGCACTGAGAGCCAGTTTAAAAAGGTGGTATAAACATACCTCATCATTTAGAATTCCAGAAAACAAGTTTAATACAAAGCTGGCAAACCTCTATTGGAGCTTTAGGGGAAAAGAAAAAACAAGCCCAGCCATTAAATGGAGTATTTTATGGAATGTAAAGGATATCAAAGTGAATGGCAATTTGTGTAGTCTGTGTCAGGAGGAGAAGCTAGCTATTGTAACAGAAAAGGCTGGCAAGTTGAATGGAAGGTCCAAGACCATGGCCAAATGTAGATATGTCAGGATGTTACTTTTAGAGCTATACAAACCAGGATGAAGTTGGAAATTTTCCCCCCTTTCACTTTAATTTAATCTATTTTCTATTTTTTTCTCACTATAACTCCACCCCATCACTTCCAGTGTCAAACGAAGGCATTTAAATTCTTGCATCGCCTCCAATTGATTCATTGAACAAAGCACCTGACAAGACCTTGGCAGTCAAAACCATGGTAGTCTTCGAGTCAGGATTCTTATCTTTTAAGGTGTGTGTGTGTGTGTGTGTGTGTGTGTGTGTGTGTGTTTTTTTAAGCAATTTACCCCAAGCAAGGCAGGAGTGGCACTAGTATGCAAGGGGCTACAGAAAGTGAAAGTAAACAAAAAGCCTGGGTATAGGGCAGTTGAGGAAAGGATAAAAAGAATAACAGTGATGAAGGCAACAGAAGATGTTGATTGACATTACATTTAAATTTTTGAGGGTTATAATTATCAGAGAAGCAAGTAAGAATGAGGGAGTTCCACTGTCAGCAAGTTTGAGAGAAGAAGCTGTTATAGTAGAAGTGGCAGTTACATTTAACTGTTTCAACAGTAAAAGGGTGTGACCAAGATGCTGACCAAGTAACATGCTTAAATTCATGCAGTCAGGCACCAGTGAAAATACCTTGTCTGAGTAGATGCCATGAAAACATTTATAGAAAAGACAGAAGGAAGCTACATTAAGTCGATAAGTAAGTGAGTGGAGTCAAGACCCCAAGTCAGTATCAATCACATTGCATATCCGTCTGGATTTTGTTGAGGACCTCAAAATGTAGAGCAGGGACACCAGACCATATATTACAATAGTATTCTTTGCATGGATGAATGGTAGATTTGTAGATGTGAAGGATGAGCTCAGATGAGAAAAACCTGGCATGATACAGAGAACTAACTTTCCTTGTGGTAGATGCAGCAATTAATTCAATGTAGTTGTTTTAGCTCAGGTCGGTGGAGAACATGAGACCAAGAAGGCGCAGTGAGGCACTCTTGAGGAGTTGAGCATCAATCATGCTGATAGGAGGCAGGGACGTTTCTCTATGGTGAGTAAATGGCAGCAGTGGTTGGTTCTGCACATGCCTTCACCACTATAATCAAATGATATGTGCAGGTTGTCTGGCAGCTATAAGAATTGAGCTGTTTAACCCTCATATGTCGAAAACAGTAGAGTCCTATATATATATATATATATATATATATATATATAAGGCAATCTACAAGATGAGGCCCAAAATCTAGGTAAATCTTGTTGATTTTATGATCTGATATCTGTAGTATAAGATGACTAACTGAGACCTATATGACAAAATTCTAAATGACGCATCAAATGGTGATGATCATAGTAATTTTGAAGGGTTTTAATTA